GCACCTTGCGAGGAATCGAACTCTCGACTATCGGAATTAAAGCGGTCTGCTGGGATATAGTCTAATATTATAATAATAGGTCTAATGGAAATAGCTGTTTGCGTACTTGATGGTAAGTGGTAATGTCATCTATATACATGAACAGCACTTCGTATATTACGTTATCATGTGACACCTGTTATTTCATGCATGTGTTGCTTTTTGTTTTAATGAATGATAATGTAATGGTGCACCCACCTGCGCTATCGGTTTTCGCTGGCGCCTCCACAGGTGCCCCTGTGGAGGATGATAAGATGAGCACGAGGTTAAGTTAGTTACAAAGTGGCAAATTTACCAATTAATTACTTACGATTATTTCCAGGGAGAACCGCATGGAACTACATATACATATAATAGCACAATTTCTAGCACCAATACTACCAATCCATTCTCATATGTTGCCATACCGGAGAGCTAAGATGTCATGCCTCTTATCAAATCCAAATTCATGTAGAACATTTAGGCCTCTTATGAACATCATATTGTTTGTATTAATATCTGAGCCTACCGTCCCGTTCAGTATATAGGTTCAATTAAAAAGAACGGGTAAGAAATTCAACTGAATATCTTTTGTTTCATTGTAATTTCACTGTATAATTGCTGTCGTCAGTTCCATGACTACAGAGACAATTTATATTTATATTTTATTATTATTTAATAATAATATATAATATAATAATATAATAATAATATAATATAATAATCTCAGGACAATTCACACAGAGCCATCTAGACCCAAGTTAAGCTAGCTAGAGCTTGTGATATGGGTACTAGATAACTGATACATATACATAGATATTTTTTTTTGTAAATACATACATATTATACATAGAAAACACCCAGACCGATACAAACAATCATACTCATGTATACAAATGTTTGTGCCGTGCGAGGAATCGAACCCGTGACCATCGGTCGTAAAGCGGTGTGCTTGACCGCTAAACCAACGAGGTCGTCAAGTTAATACGTAATAGTTAGTCTATAAGGTACTTGTAATATGATGTATGTACCCTGAATTAAATGAATATTAAAAGCTTACAAGTTAAAAAGAGCTATGAAACTTATTACTGGTTTACTCTAGAAACCCCATTACAGAGTAAGTCTCCATGTATCAACTTACGAGTTAAAATAACCGTTAATATAATGACGTAGCAAATCAAATCAAAATCTTTTGAAAGATCTCGCACAATTGAATATCTGTAAAGACGGCGTAAAACGGCCAATACACTAAATAACAATGACTATGATGAGTTTGCATAATTTTATTGATCCAAATACCCGTGGATCATTGATCATCGGGTCAATAATACGTATTAAAATTGTCATTGTTGACTAGTGACGTGTTAATATAATTCAAGTTATCGATAAAATAAGTATCGACACACTACAACTCAAATAAAAAATCTGAAATGTATCGAGGTTTCTGGTCGTTATTTGAGTTGGATGAGATTTTTTTAATAATAATTGAAAAAAAAAACTATATATAATATAAAATAAAATATTAATCATATATAATATATATAATTAAATTTTTTTTCGTAACTAAGCACAAAAATTAAAAAAGTCACTCAAATGATTATCATATGAAAAATGTATCATGAATAAAAACGTATCATGTATTTGATTATGTATTCTTGATAATTATTATGATTAATTGAGCGGAACCGACAGACGTCATTTTACCCGAAAAATCGGCATCACGTACCATTATGTGTACCCATGTACAGTTATATTTTCAAACCCTCTTGAAGCCCATAGAAAAATACACGTAATATCTAAATCGGTACAGCCGTTTCGAAGATGTTACATGAGACACGTACAGAAAATTATGTATTATGTATGTATAAAGAATCATATAATCATAAGATAAAAATATCGATAGTCGATAGTCATATGCAGGCCCTAGGTGTTGTGCAAACCTCACTGTTGACCGATGGTGCGTGCCAAATGAGACGATCCATCATTCCTTCATAGCGCTTTGTTGTCCCCCAGATGCGGACTGTAACTAGGTATCCACCGTGTTATACCTACATGCATTACAGATTCTGAATAAAAAAAATAATAAAAAATATTTATTTTTACGTAACTGGAATTTGAAACCAACTGTTGAAAAATGGTAAAATGACTGAAGGCTCGCTTATAGAAAAGTGTTTATCTATGAATAAATAACCTTTCAATACAGGCTTTATTTGACTACAGTTTATCAGCATTATTATGCTGATAATCCGAAGTCAAACAAAGCCTGGTTCTTCATTGGTTGCTATTTCTGAGGAATAAGTTTTAAGTTTTAAACCTCCGTAACCTGTAATTTCACTGTTATATTTATATTTAATATTTAAATGAATAGAGAACGCTATATGACAAACTAAGGTACTTTAGTTGGGCAGCATGAGGCAAACAACGAATCGGCATGAATCACACCCTTTAAAATATCGGCGTTAAATATACTAGATAAACTGTAGATAGAATACCCTTTCTATCTTAAAAGAACCACAACTCTCCTTTGCTGCGGATATTCATAAACGGCGGTAATCACTAACAATCAGTTTTGCCGGAATGTCATTTACCCAATGCCTTAAAAACTATGTATATACATTTTACTTATCTCGAAATAGAATACATAGTTCCAAAGAAAGACATGATGGAATTACTATTGTCTAATATTAAAATATCAATAAATCATTAAAAGTGTCGGTTCTTTAAATAACCAGTAAACAAATTGACTGAAGCAATCTAACTTCTCAATACAGAGTGTCAGGAAACCAACTTCGACCCTCACATTGTTTGACCGAGCATTCCACACGTCCCAAATCACAGCAAAAGCGCTAAACCCTTGTTCACCAATAAAAATCACCAACATGTCCGGTCCGGATATCGAAATTTTCTCACCCTCAAAAATGTAACGAAACAATCTTGCACAAGCATTTGATTTGCGCAAAAATGACCCTTACTACTTCGACGTAAAGTTCAAGATGTTTATCTAGGTTTCATATCTGTAAATTCTCTCCCTTTACAAGTGATTTGCCCCATATGTCGAAAACAAGTGAACTGGCTTCTTAACGCGCTGGACACCCCAAATTGAGGGTAGTCCGAGGGTGGAAATTGTCGGGTTTATTGAAATTTCCCATGGGTTATTTTCACACGTGGTCACATCGTGAAAGTGGTTAGGGGTGAATTGACTGGAAAATATTTTCATACAATGACGTAATAAATTTTATTAAGCAGAGGTTCACTGTTGTCGAAGGTGAATTGTATATTAAATTTACATTTACATTAAATTCATTACGTTTTTCTACATAGCTGATTATAATAACTCAGAATTAATAATAATAACCCAAGATCATTGATATAATACGCAAATTTCGAAGACATTGTATTGTAGTATCGGTACTAAACAAATGAGAGAACTTTTTTTTTTTCTAAATATCAAAACAAACAATCATACTGAATAGTACAAATGTATCGTACAAGAATCGAACCCGCAACCATCAGACGCACATTGATCTCAAATTATATAATGTCACTTCTTACTATATCATACAATAAAAATCCTAGTATCTCGTACTGTTGTATTATACTTCTAAAACACATAAAAATCATTTCAACAATACTCTATATATGAACCATATCATTATGGGCAGGTTTATCTTCAGACTCGCATAAAATAAAATCCTGAGCCACCGTTATCCCTATCAGAACGTCACGACATTAAAACCTTGCACTATCTCATAAACTAACTTTGATTTACGACACTTGGAGATATCGTTCGTCAAAATTTCAGCTAAAACATTTTCTCCCCCAAGCATATCACTGAATAATTCATTGCATTCTCATATTCGACCGGAACCCGTTCAATTGGGCGGAAGGGCTTGACCGCGGAGGTCGAGTGACCCTTCCCTCTCGCCTCTCAGGCCCTCACAAGTGCGCCTTTTAGAAGGCTTCTTTGATATCTCAAGATTCTTACGCTCGAAATAGAATTAAATTAGCCTATAGACTATATTTCTAATATTGCACATTATTGATATTAATTGCGATTTTTTTATGCAATTGAAATGGTACACAACCTGATAGTAAATCATAATCATCATCCACATATATGAAAAGCACTACGGACATTAGGAAGACGCCTGCGATACTTACTAGTCCAGCGTTGCTATTCCAGAGAACTAAGATATCATGCGTCATCCTGTAATTTTACTGACTTACCCTTCAGCGAATGCATAGAATAGAATAGAAAATCATTTATGCAAATTAATTTAATTTATCCACTTTTGAATAGTCATACTTGTTTTTTATAATCTTCCATTCGTTCGGAAATCTGTTTGATCACACGGAGAACGAGCAAGAAACTTGCGTGTTGTTTAAATTACATAGTGTAAAAAAGCTTTGAGGTATCAACGTGGACAACTCAACTTAGTATACCTCGCTATACAATATTGGTGACGTTACATAATAGTTAGAAAACCATATTGGAATGTTTTCCAGCCAATTACTTTAATCAAACTTATTACATAGATCTCCTTTTCTGTATAGGGAAATCCATCCAGTTGTATTAAGATATGCCTTTAAGACGATCCCATCATCCAATACACCATGGGTGGCTTACCTCGCTTACTGGGGTTATGATTGTGGGTAATTGTATTATGTATATTTTGTAGGTACTGTATTACATGTTCCTCTATTAAACAGTATCAATCAAAACGTCTTTCTTTACAATGTTATTAACACCTACGTCCTGCACCTTAACAATGATATCCCTATGGCGAATCATTCTCAGATATATTAGATATTGTTATCACACTGAAGGAAATAGATGGTATCACACCCTAGTTCTTCAATAAAGACCTACGAGCAATACTTCAGCCATAGGACAAGACAATTATCCAAGTATCCTAAACCCCATGCCATTGAATGAATTTAATAGATTAAATAAACGAAACAAATATGATATAAATGCTCAAAGATTTATTACTAAACGATAGACGAAACTTGAACAAAACCTTTACAAAAAGCGTACCTCTTACATTTAAACATTATAGTCATGGTCAAAACATTGTAGACTTCTCTCAATACATTTCAAAATAGATTTTATAGGATATCAAAAATAATATTGTAATTTATTTCAAAGATACAGCGTTTCTTTCTTCTCAAGTAGCAACGAATCATATTCATCACACTAGTGCCACTTTGGTCACATTCTGTAGAAGTAACAGGATGGTGACAAAGAACAATACAGTAGGTGGAATGGTCTTTTTTGATTTATTGGACACGAGGGCATGAGGCTGTGGTAATGGGATTGCTAAAGCTTGATTGTTGCAGCGGTTCAACTGTGGATTTAAACATATATTAATATCAGCTACTAGCCCCGGCTTCGCACGGGCGTAAATGTATTATATATTTTATATATATTCCGTTGCGTAGTTTTAAAGATTTAAGCATACATAGGGACAGACAGCGACAGCGACTTCGTTTCATACTATGTAAGGATAATTATGATAATAACTTTAGTAAACCAAAGTATATTTGGTACTAAAATATGAATTATTTTAGTACCAAAACTATTACATTTGACTTATCCTGTAATAGACCTACATAAGTAAGGATATTTTGAATTGATTTGAAAAAAACATATTATACATAATAAACAATCTAAGTGATATTGATATAAAGCAGTCATAAGTATGCAACTTACTTTGTTATTGCGCTATAGAAAGAGTAAATGGATGGGTTATGGGATATAGTTTATGTTTTCATCTATAAATTTGTTATTACGATCAAGACATTAAGTTACATTTAATATGAATTTCTTTATCTAAACATTTGTATTCTGTGATGTGTATGTGTGAGTATAATAATTTGTAACAGTCGGGAATTTTTCTATATATATTGTTATTTACAAAAAAAAAAATATTTAACCACCCAGGCCTATATTAAACAATTATACTCATAAATACAAATGGTTGTAGCGTGCGAGGAATCGAACCCGCAACCACCGAAAGTATGGCGTTATACTAACCCGCTAGACCGCTAAACCAAGGCTCTAATAAAATAGCCTAGCATATTCCGTACCTCACAGCATGTGGTCTCCGGGTTTCCTACACACCCTGAGCGACAGCCTCTCACTACCGCTTCGTAATTACTCCCCTTCGATATTACAGACGTAAAGCACTTGTCTTCTGTACTGTGACATGTCATTGTATGTACCCTGGAACAGATTCATTCAGACAAGCAGATTTCTTTGTAGGCCATGTTTTGTTTGATGATCGTAATTTGATATCTAAGTGAAATTACACGGTAGAGAAGGTAGTACCTTAGTCTTCCAGACTAGAAGTGTATCATTTTTTTCGAACTATTCCAACACTGTTGGCCGAAACTGGCCTTTACAGCTTCACCGAACGATAGCGGGCGAATACAGATGCCGCTCCAAAGCCGCAATGGGACTTATGCAGCAACTGAAGGCCAACTGCTGCTTGATGAATACGACGTTAATGGTTTCCGCGTTTTCGCGATGAGACGAGATTCCAGAGGTCTATCATCCTTCCTATGACTTATCCTAATTCCCTCGCTTAACTATACTTTCTTAAGAGATTGGCATTTTATCTGCAACCTCTGGTAGCTCTCCTTTTCCTAATTTCTTCCCTAACTACCCCTTTTTTAGAGATTAGCAATTCATCTGCAATTCCTCTTGTGTTACGGATGCTCATGGGCGTATCATTTCAAGTTTGCCACAAGCTCGTTTACCACATCTCCAATATAAAATGTATATAGTTATATGTCTTAAACAAACCTGTATTTAGTGGGATCCAAACATGCCCTCAAAGGCGTTTCAGTTTTAAATGCACAGACATAACATTCAATCGGGTGCTTCTTAGTTGTCCTGGTGACCATCAGTGCTTTTACTGATGGCAACATGATAGGAGTCCGCCTGCCTGATATAATTTCAGTCTTTTCTGTTTGTTCCTCTTCTTCGTCGTCCTCGTCGTCATCATCATCAGGACCGTCGCTATGTCTGAGGAATAATTAATAAAAATATCCTACAAATATCACATATCTTCATGTAGTGATAAACTGAGGTAAACTTTTATTCAATTTAGACAATTAATAAAAATATATAATACATTTGTGATATGTATATGTACTTAAACGTTTTTGATATACTCGTACATATGTATATAAAAATATGTACTTTGTTATAAACGAGCATCAAACACATTATATTTTCGTTACCACGTAAATTAAGACGTCATGAAATAAAAAATAAATATTGTCCCTAAATGTCCAAGACTCACTAATCCGTTTTAATTGTAGTCCAGATAAATCCAATTTTACATATTCATTTATAAAACGCAATTTAGTGTAAAATTATTTTACGTTGTTTTTTTATTTGGTTTTGTAGAATATTTTTCATTAAATACTTTCAGTAACCTACTCGGAGTAGTTTTTATTGAGTACCATTCAGTAGAATACAGATTTTTTTGTCCATACTCCATAACACGTTTACATCTATGTGTATTTTAATTCTAATATTCCTCGAGCACTATGTATTAAAAAATCGGGTTTGGTTTTGCAATCACCCACCTAGTTTAATAGGCGGGAATTTTTCGTCAGTAATCCAAAACATATTTATACTTATCTAGACATATTTACTACTGATATTTATCAATAACTGAATCTTAAAAAGCTTGGTGCTTTTACATGAAGCATAATAGGATATGGTTTGCTATAACACGCCTTAAAATAAGCAGCACTCTGAACTGATGAATCAAAACAGTCTGATTGGTGTATGTAAAATTGTGTTTTTAATCCCGATACTCACTCTTCATCATCGTCATCGTCCATCAAGCAGTCAGTCCTCACAGGCAACAGCAGCAACATGGCCAGCACCAAGCCGTACCTCCACCTCACCATCTCACTACCTTCCAACGCCAGGCCTGAATAGAACTTACTAACCGCACCAATACACTGGATTTGTCATTTTATTACCAAAAATATACTTATGTAGACATTTGAATATGTTACATTTATACGCTTGACAGCAGTTTTCAATAGTTTTCGTGTTTAGAATTTCTTCTTTTTCTTTGGTATTATGGCAAAACTTTTTACTACAATATTTTTTTTTATTCATACATTTATTTAGGGACTTTTAACATAATATAATAATGCAAGTCCCATAGTATCTTATTACTAATCTTATCTTCTACTGCACAATGAAAATAAAAATGTTGCTGGCGATGATACAGGATCAGATAATATACCGTGGTACATACCAACATCAAGCCGATTCAGTCCAAATACTACAGTAATATAACCAACTATGTACTCTTAATATTTCCATTGCCTCGATTTTTCCCATATATATATATATAGATAAATTACGTGCATTTTTTTATTTACAAGACAATAATACACGATGCAGAAAATAATTCACGCGGAGAAATTTTGTTCAGTAAAAATTCATAACATTGTTAGCCTTTTACGAGAAGCATTCAAAATTCTATCTGTTGATGAATTATTTTTATTATCCGTATCCATCGTGTTCTTACTATATTTTTTATTAATTTATTGTATGTATTTCAGTAGTAGTAAAACAGATACTGTACGGTAATTAATATGTGTTACTTTTATTAACGAAATTACATTGTCATTACATTCATAATAGCTTTCATTTTTTACTGATATCCTATTTTTCTCTTGTTCGCAAACGAAACTTTATTTGTGATTGTACGTTTTCGTTTACTATTTCGACTAGTGCCATCTATTGAATATAATTGTAACTTGCTATTCAAACATAGGTGGCGCTTTTACGGAATATTTTTTTCATATAAGAATTTTTCATAGTTATAGAAAAAAAAAATCTTATTAGAAAATGTGATAATTCATCTTCTGTTAAAACTAAGTATGAGTATAACGATTTACTAATGTCAACAATTCATAGATTACCAAAACTTTAATTTCGCTTTATTATCTTACATTATGACTTTTTTGTCTTATATTACTAACTAGCTACTCAACCCGGCATCGCCCGGGTATATACATGTGTTATACACAGAAACCTTCTTCTTGAATCCCTCTATCTATTAAAAAACTTCAAATTCCGTTGCGTAGTTGCGTATAATGCTGACTAGAAACTCTGCTGTAAGAGCAGAGATTCTTTTGAAATAGTTTTTTTGTAGGCACTTTATTAATTCTGATAATACATAAAGTCATTACTATATTGACGACTTTCGATTGAATTTAATTTTTAATTGTGTTTCTTTAATTTATATTGACGATCTCGGCAATAATTTGTAATCGAGAATATTATGTATTTGTTCACGTATGTTGTATGAAAAATTATATGTTATTGGTCCTTATTAAAGGTCTGATTTAAAAAAATATAAAACATTTGTGTACCAATTCATATCAACTGAAGTCTCTCTCTCTCTCTTCCTGGCTATATATCTCACATGGTGGTGGGGTCAGCTTTCTTTATTTTTGTCCGCCACTTTATCCTGTCCCGAAAATCGTCTTCAGAGACCTCACTCTCTATCATGTCCCTAGCAACAACATCTTCCCATCCCTTCCTTGGTCTGGCTCTCATGTCAACTGAAGTAGCTATTCAAATTGCATTAGTAATATAGTGATAAAAAAATAACAAATAATTAACACAAATAGTACTTTTGTTTATGTATAAATACATCATTTTGATATATAAATTTTTAATTTTTAAATATAAATTTCAATATAACTTAAAGATCAGTAATTAAAGTATAGGGTATTCAATTAGATGTCTTTGTAAACACTGTCCATATTTTATTAATATTTAATAAAATAAAATTTAATATTTACTAAGACAAGTCTTTGTAGCGAATTACACTAAACTTTATGATACATATATTAAGGATCAACTTACTATATCAATGTTCATAAGTATATTATTTAACATGTTTACTTGTAGCTTAAATGTAGGTACATACATATACAGATTATTTTATTTTGGATAATATGTACATATATTACATAGAGAATTATATACATATTAGACTTAATAAATTTGATTTAGCTACAATTAGCAAAGTAGATTCCTAAAAATTATTATTTCGATCAATTCTGATTCTCTGTGTTTCTTCTACTCTGTACACTTTGTCTTTACAACTCTATATATATTGCTGTCTCTTTTGTCATTTCTCCAGCAATCCATAAGCTAATTATCTCGCCTACATTTAAACACATTACAAATTGAACCTTAAAATAAGTGCACTACTGACATGAAATTTATTTTTTTAGATACAAGCAATGTTTATAAACTCGCATAATAATCTAGGCATCAGACAAACTCAGAGTCTGGAAGGCTGTGAATAAATGAACAGGATACCTCAACGTAACTCTTTCATGTAAGCACACAACTGAGCCAGTATGTGCATGTGACCCTTTGCGTGAGTTGCACACTTAATTATTTTTTAGAGCAGCTATGTAACAATTAAAAAAAATACATCTACAGGGACAATATGCTATCATTTTATAATACACACATTACATATAGCATATATAATGTGCCTTACGTGTAATACATACACGTAAGGCATACATAAGGTATTCATGTCAAAAAACTTAAACACTGTTTAAACTAAGGACTAAGGTAAAAAAAGAGATGGAGGGACTGTAAAACTGAAAGATGAAATAGCAACAAAGGGTAAATGGCAACGGGTAATGAGAACAAATAATGAGATACGAATAAAGATAAATGAAAGAGTAATATATATTACTCCTATCCCAAATGACATGGATTAAGAAAAGTAAATGATAATAATTGCTATTATCAATAAGGATAAACTTTTATCTATCTATCTAAGGTCGCTTATTATATTTACATGTCTATATATATTATATCTGTATAATATATATATAAAAAGGAAAAAACCACCTCGCTAAAACTCGAGAACGGCTGAACCGATTTCGCTAATTTTAGCCTTAAAAAATTTGTGGACGTCCAGGCAAGGTTTAAAAGGTGATAAAATATAAAAAAATTGCTTAGAAAATAATAAAAACAATTTTATTTTCCAATACAAATTGTTCGTACCGGTCAAACAGGGTTCGTTCAGAAATTTATAGCGTAACTAAACTTCAAAAACCCATGACATATTAGGTATTATTTAATTCTAAGGCGGAACGGATTTCGCGGGGTCAGTTATTGATAAATGTTTAAATGCAACTTTTCTCTGTTACTGTATAATGCAAATAAAATATTTTATTTATATTATCACTGTATATTACAATCATTGTATCATTTTATATCGTCGTACATTGTTATTATATCATTGTACATTGTACAGTGCAAATAATATCCTGTTTACATAAATGTGTATACATATACATGTAATAATTTAATTTAGTGTGGTTTGGGTCTTCACAAATATTTAATTTTCTTTCATTCACACTAAAAAGCATTTTCTTCACATAATTTCTCGCACGTAAACTTTTTATATTATTTTTAACTCTCTTATATTTCGTCATTATAACACTTTTTTTCATAAAAACATCGTTTAGAAAATGCGTCGCCGAATACACAATACAATATTGAAATATTATAAAGTCAAACTTGGTAAGAATTATAAGTACATATTGTCTGCAATCATTCCTTTTCTTAAATACCTCGGTACCTATCTATGTATAATTCCCAATGTCGCCTCCATTAGTGCCACCTGAGTGTCACACCTAACACAGGCCGCTCCGCTTATCGTCCGCACAAAGCTCGCGGCCCGCAATCCCCGCTCAAAACCGAATACACGACCTCATTAAAAAATGAAACCTCACAAACAACCATGAGCCTACAAAACCCGTCAAAGCGAAAAGCGCCACGTAGCGGAGAGTAGCGGAACTTCAGCACTCGCGGAACCAACCTCTGTGCTTTTTTAATTAGCCCCCTACAGTATGTGAATGCGTGAAATAAGTTAGATTTTTTTAACCTATGCGGTTAGTTTGGCTGCTTTAAGTAGAGTATGTTAATTCACAAGTAGCTTGCCACTCGTTGGCTGTTTGAACTGTTCGAAAAAGGGCTTTGCGTGGAGTAAATAAGCCTTATTTGATAAGTATAAATGTGCAGGTTAATTAGCAATGAAACTGAAATAATACTATCAGAGAGTTGTTGAATAACAGCTCTGCATTTTATGTGTACCCAATGAAGTATGCAATGTACATTGTGTATTGTATACTTTGTGTGTATATATACACACGTATGTATATTTACATTTTGCTAATGACTACTACAATTTGGGCTTACTCTCTTTTTATGTATATCGTATATCAAATAGTCCATCCATCTTTTCTTCTGTCGTTCTCTCCCTTTATATCCATTAAACATTTTCTTTAAATCATGAATTAATTATTTTCACTCCACCGCATCACATGTCCATACCAAGATAGTTACTGATTGGAATTAGCCATAATAACTAACGGATACATGTTTAAGTCTTGTGAAAAATTATTATAGTATGTTATGTTTATAATAATCATATTTTAGTATATTTTTTTTTAATCAAATACCTTTATGCTATGTATTCTTGGATCATTATGGCTAATTCCCATCGGTATGCTAATAATATTTATTTTGAAATATTAACAGAATTAAATTTGTGGTAAGTATTCAGTGTTCTGTATTTTTGTATGTTTTTTGTCAATATACTTAAATTCCATTCTGTGTTCCTTCTTAAACTTCAATCTAACCCTCTGTTTTTTTTACAAATCAGTCTTGTATTGTATCCTTAGCAATGTAACAGATAGTTTCACATCTAAATCTATAGTTTTATCTAATATTGCATTCTATTAACTATCTATCGTTATTACTCAAATAACATTATAAAGTCGAATTATCAACTCCATACATTTATCGACAGTTCACAAGTGATAAACAACTTTGAAAAAGTCTGGCGTCGCTCTAGTATCTGGAAACTTCTTTTATCTCGACTGTGAAAAAGTGCAAACTGCGCAAACTTCACTTTCGCCTTGGTGAACTAATTTTTCGCCGGTGTCAAGTTCACGGCTCGGTGTGGCGCGGCACTCAGCGACGGCGAGTATGACGCGGG